CTCAGGTGGCTCAGGGGGCGGGCATCCTGGTGTCCTGCGCGGTGCCCGATGCCTGCAGGGGGCTCAGGAGGGAAGTGGGAGGCCGGTCCTGATGGGTGGCGACTCCGTTGTCCACACGTGTTCACAGTGTACGTGGGCGTCTGTGGACTGTGACCATGACGTCATGTGTCCAAGCCGTCCTGTGAATGCACGGTTAGGTCCCTTCCTTACACGTAGCAAAAGCCACGTCTCCTGGGCAAGTGCTCTTTGATTTTAGCTTTCTATGTGATTCCATAAGACAAACGGAAATTCTGCAGAGTTCTAATATTAATTGTACCCTGGAGATAATGCTAGAATTCTTTTTAAAAAATATATGTTTTTATTGATTTCAGAGAGGAAGGGAGAAGGAGAGAGAGATAGAAACATCAATGATGAGAGAGAATCATTGATCGGCTGCCTTCTGCACGCCCCCTACTGGGGATCGAGCCCACAACCCAGGCATGTGCCCTGACTGGGAATCGAATCATGACCACCTGGTTCTAGGTCGATGCTCACCCACTGAGCCACACCGACTGGGCTACAATACTAATTCTAGTACTAGTATCATTAATTGCTTGGTTATCAGCAATAACAAATATCACTAGATTGTTACCTGTATGAGTTCTAGGTAGAAAGGGAAATAGCCTCGCTGTCTCCAGTGTGGGGAGTGCTTCTTTGCTCACCTAGTTTCTGGTAACTCTAACGTGGCCTTCTCAACACGGGCCACCGGCTTCCATATTTCTCTCCCGGGTTGATAAGTTAGCTGGTCAGCAGAACACCGTACTTTCCAGAACAAAATCTTACGTCTGTTTCGGCATGTTACTGAGCATGCATTTGGGGTGTGACGGGGAAATGAGTAAACCACAGAGATAATCTCTTGAGTGGAACATAATTTACAGCCGTGTCAAGATTTTGGTTCAGATCCATCAATCCATTGGTGCTTATTAAGGACGACTAAATGTGTTTCTAGGAACTTACTCTTAGAACCGAACACCATGGCACCAGGAGTAGCTTCATTCCTGGTTCTCTCGCGGGATTTATAAAGTAGATGCTCATCAGGCATCTCTCCATGCTGCATTTTGTAAGGCTCTGTAATCACATTTGCCATAATGTGCCTTCGGGAAGAAACCAGACAGGCCTCGGCTTTGTCTCGTAGATAACCGCCCAGACGCTGCCAAAGAGATGGGAGGGGCGGGCTCAGGCGGCTTCTAGAATGGCCTTTACAGTATTGGCCTCGGTCTAGTTCCTGGAAACCTGACTTTACTGAGGAGACACCTGAGTGAAGCTGAAATGCAGGCTGGAGGCTGGGTCTGGACCAAGGACCCCAGCCAGGGGGTGGTCCGGGGCTCCGGGGCCCATCCCCAGCATCAGGGGTGACAGGTGCCCCCAGTGAGGGGGTCTTCAGGCAACGCGACTTCCGATGTGTTTTCCTGGCTCTCTCCTCCTGGCCTCAGTGAGAGGTGTGGGAGTGAGACTGGCCGGGGTCCCCGGTGACCACCTTACACAACGTCCCTTGAGAGCCAGGCTTGAGGGACACGGAGGGACCAAGGGGTGTCTGTCAGGGCTGCTTTGAGCCGTCAGCAGCCCCACAAACGAGGTTCTGTGAGACTGGAGAGCTGACTCTCCTGGTGAACATTCTCCGTGGGGTTCGGGCCGCCTGCTGGGCAATCCCTGCCGCCCTGAACGTAGGAGGCCTGTAGGGGGGGAGGAAGCGAGGACGGCGTTGCTAGCACAGCAGAGCTCATAGACCACGGCCGTGCAGCTCTCTGTGGGATTTGCTCCGCATTCAAGCTGATCTTATAAAAGCAGGTGAACTTTAATGTCGCTGCGATGAGTAATCCTGTTCGCACTTAGACGATCACTCCCATTTTATCAGATGAGCTGTGTAACCGCGGGAGCCCCACACGGCACAGCTTTATGGTTCTCAGCCGGGGTGGGGCTGGGGGTGTTCCCCCGGGGCACATTTGGCAGTGGCTGGGGACATTTGCGGGGAAGGGGGTTGCTATTGGGATGTAATTCTAGTGGGTAGAGACCAGTGGTTC